GAAAGCGTAACTGTAGCAAAAAAAACCTCCCTGCTTCTTGCTCCTATCAAGAACTTAGTCAGCAAGCAACTACAACCTTTTCAGGAAACTTTTAATTCTTTTCAGGGGAATGTGTATGTTTTCTTCTAGGTTTCAGGAGTTTAAGATGTGGGCCAAAACGTTATGTTTTAACCTTCTTTCCACCTCAAGATAAATAACACCATCCTTTGTACACGCCGTGCCCCAGAAAGTGGTGTCATGCAAGGAACGTTTCAGCCAAATGGTCTTGCAGTGTCCTGGATAACTCAAAATGGGTTTTTGCAGCATCTTACTAATTGGTCTAGGGAAAATAAAGGGTTGTTCTAAGCTGCTGTGGGAACTTCCGTGTTGTAGCCATAAGATTTTTTTTGTTGTTTTACTAGGAAAATACTGGTAAACAATTAAGGAGTTGATGTGATTTACTTAAACTCATTGTTTTCTCTTTTTAGGTTTATCTGCATTTATCCAGCATATTTGAATAACAAGAAGACAATAGCAGAAGGAAGAAGGATACCTATAGACAAGGTATGTGGATGGCAGGGAAATACAATGCTTTGGTTTGCTATGCAGTGGTGTGTAGAGGGTTGGAAAATAAAGCTGTTGATCTTTCCTATCCCCCATGGCAAGTAGCTCGATAATTGGAAGATGCAGTGTATTTGAAGATAACTTTGTGTCAACAGGTGAATTTGGTAGAAGAGCACTGGGTTTAAGTGTCTGCTTTCACGTGAGCAGCACCTTTGGCAAGCAGGTGAAGCACCAATGCACTTAACCTTCTACATAAGTAGTTTGCCAGATTTGAAAGTGATGCAGAAAAGAATACCTAGCTAATGATTGTTTGCTTTGTGACTGACTATATGTGCGTATATTCTGTGCCCTGTCACCTTTGCTGCTGCCAAAGGTAGAACTGCAATGCATCTGGCACATAGACTTGGTAGTTGTTGTTGATTTTAATCTGTCCAGAAATAGGTTTTGATCATCTCACTCCTTTATAGTATTAACAAGCAGTACTGGGAATATAAAGGGCTTTTCTCACTGTTTAGGGTTGGGTTTTTTTTCTGATAATAGTTAAAAATAAAATCTTTCTTGAGCATGCAAGTTACCAAAGATCTATATGTACGAGGAATATGCTGCCCTGTGCCTATAAGGTTTCTATTCTCCTTCAGTCGTTGCTGTAAGTTTGCTGTTGCTGATTCATGATTTTTGTTTTTTTGTAAATATAATAACTGTTTTTCAACTATTTTTCCTGAGTAATTCTTTTACTTGCTCATATCCTAATTAATTCTATTTATCTCCTCTGTTTTGTGTTTTATTGATGTCTGATCTCTTTTTTTTCTTTTTTTTTTTTTATGGTTTCTAGACCATAGGAGTGCTCACTGATGACTTCTACAGTAGATTGTCATTATTTGAAGTACCTTCTCTTTCCTCATCTGCTTTTTCTAGTTATAGAGTATAGGGTGGGAAACTGCTAACTATTACTGTACAGGCAGTTCATCACTGAAAAATAATTAACTGTAACACATTATTTCAACAGGCTGTTGAAAATCCCACATCTACGGAAATCCAAGATGTATGTGCAGCAGTAGGATTCAATGTGCTATTAGAGGTAATGAAAAAAAAAAAAAAAACAAAACCAACAAAACAAAAAAGCCCCCCCCCCCCACTTAGTATGTGTCTTTGTTCTTTCATTATATGTTTTCTTACAGACAGGATAAATTACAATTGAGAAGTTTTTGTTATTAGCCAAGATACTTGCTTGCTTTGAGTAATAACTGACCAAAATGATAAAGTAAATGTTGGAAAACTGTATGCAAGGCAAAAATAACCAGGATCTCTGAGACAATACCGTTTTTTAAGTTTATAAAAAGATCACTTTTTTTTAACTATCCTTCTGAGATGGCTATCCTAGATGCTTAAAAGTGTGTCAGAATAAAAGCTAATTAATTTTGCAAACTGTAGTTCTGCAAATTAAGCTTTTAAAAAAGCATCTTTTTAATGAAAGGGGATTACCTTTTGGAATGACAGTCCCATAGGAAATAGATTCTGATGCTTGAAATCTTCAGGGTCCTTTGGAGTTATATTTTAGCCAGAGAGTGTTAATTTTTTTATTGCAATACCTGCTTGTTCTTTAAATAGTTTAAGTTGGTTAGTTTTTTGCTAGAGAATGAGCCTGGGTTTCTCGAGAGATAAGTTTTTGCAATTCATTTTCTGAAGTAATTATTAATTTTAAATACAGTTGAATTTTCTATCACTTCTTTACTAAAGAATTCAGGTCCTCACTTAAGAGTGCGACTGGTATCTGCAAACCAGCACAATATCACTTTGCTTTTCAGAAAAAGTTGAATATACTTCCATTAGAATTGGAGTTTTGCAGAAAATTATTCCAGTACTTACTATAGTAAGTTTCTCCTTGTGTATGACAGAAAAATAAAATGTATCCTAGAGAGTGGAACAGAGACGTGCAGTACAGAGGTAGAGTACGAATCCAGCTTAAACAGGATGATGGCAGCCCATGTTTACCTCAGTTTCCAACACGTGAGTAGTGTACCTGGGTTAAGGCACTTTATCTGTTACTAAAACAGAAAGACGTTGTTTATTTTGTTATGTTACCATTATTGTTTAATTACTTATACTATTACAAATTTTACAACTTTACATTGAATCTGTTTGCCTGTATAAGTCAACCAAATCAAGCTGGTGTCTGAGCATTGAGCAGAGTTTGTAAAATGCTGTTGTCTTTAATCCTGCTGTTTCTTCAGCGCTTGAATTGGAGGGGGTTATGAAGAGTGTTGTGTGAGTGCTATGTTGAACAAAGCAGCCATTCAGCTTTGGCTTACTGTTTGTTGACAGTTAAAACAAGAAGTATTTTGGTATTAAAATGGCTAAATTCCACCTTTTTCTTAGGTTACATAGATCAGCTATGCATTGGTATGGGTCCCTGACTTCAGTTTTCTGCTGGCCATTGTCATAAATCAACAATGGAGCAGCTCCTGTTAACTAATTAACGAGAATAGTTCATCCTGAATGACAAATAGTTTAGTCTTTTGCATTTTTCCAGACAAGTAATCAGTGTGTAAAAGGGAAGCAAATATTTATCTGAAGAAGCATGTATCTTAAGGAAAGAGCAAGAAGAATACTGAACTGGAAGTAGTGTAAGAGTGCTGTTGGTCAGAAGGAGATGATTTAAAACCACATTCCTG